ACCCATTGGGTGGAAGCTTTTCCCACAAAGAAGGAAACCGCAGAAGTGGTCGCAAAACTGATCCTGGAGGAAATCCTTCCCAGATATGGTTTGGTAAATACTATTGATTCTGATAGTGGACCTCACTTTGCTGCTCAGGCATTACAGCAGGTAATCAAGGCATTAGGGATAAAATGGAGATTACATACTCCATGGCACCCCCAGAGTTCAGGCCGAATCGAGCGAATGAATAAGACCCTGAAAAATGTATTAACCAAATTAATAGCAGAGACCAAACTGAATTGGCTCAAGTGTCTACCCCTGGCTCTACTGCGAATTCAAACAAGGCCTAGAGCAGACATAGGAGTGTCCCCTTACGAAATGATGTTCGGACTCCCCTTTCTGCTATCCCCATACAGTGTTGGCAACTATGATGATGGAGAAGAGGCTACCCACAAATATCTAAGAGCTATTGGGAGGAGTTTAGAGGGTCTCAGGAAAAAGGGATATATACCCCAAACTTCCCCCCATGACACCAATGTGCACTGTATTCAGCCTGGGGATTGGGTACTAATTAAGTCTTGGAATAACACTCCCTTAACCCCAAAATTTGAAGGTCCCTTTCAGGTATTGCTGACCACCCACACTGCAGTACGAACCCAGGAGAAGGGTTGGACCCATATTACCAGAATCAAAGGGCCAGTGTCATCTCCAAGCCAGACATCTGACTCCTCTGCATCCTCTGAGAAACCAACAGACAAGACATCTCACACTAATCCGGGAGAGTGGAGGGTAGTCCGGGACCCAGAAAACCTGAAAATCACACTCAAAAAGAAAACAGGAAACAAGGACTGTGCCAAATGAAATATTATTAGCATTGCTGTTAAGAACTGTTACAAGTCAGAGTTGTTTTAATGTTTTAATGTTTTAAGTGTTAAGAGGTTTGAACCCCCTCCATAGGGAATAATTTCTCCTACTGAGCACTTTCTAAAGAGGTGATAAGAAAAATTAACTAATAAGGAGTGAGGCAGCCAATAGTAAAAGACTCTTAGGGAAACCTCAGACCCAAGAGGCAAGACCGGGGGGTGTCAACAAAGGGAAGAGGGCCCCTACCGGACTCTTGGGGAAGTTAATGTTGCTGCTAATACTGGAGGGCTCTCTCAGTAGAGAAAGAAACCCTTGCACAAAGTGTTACCACCCCATTTATGATGGGGATGACTTGAGGTCCCTATTCAGAGTCCATACCAATATAAATCCAGGCTGCTTTAACCACTCCCAATTAATCACTTGTCAGGAAGACGGAAAAACATTGGACCACAAAGAACACTGCCTCTTATAGGCAACGCCTGCTTGGGGAGTGCCCAGTAGGAGAGGAATGGTTCTGTTTCGAGCATGAGGGACTAAAAGATCTGGTAAAAGAGAAACAAGTAATTAATGAAAATGGTAATTCTGACAATTTTGTGGGAAAGAACTTATTTATCGACCTGGTGGAAAAGATAAGTAGGGAATTGAATTTAACTAACTGTTGGGTCTGTGGGAGTACCCAGATGACAGAGATCTGGCCGTGGGAAGGGAGTAGCTTGAGCCCATTGGATGTTCTGCAATGGAGACAAATAAGACCACCAAATGAAGCGCTGGCATCCAGGGGAAAAGAAAAATGGGAGCAGAAATCTAAGGTATTGGGGAAAGAGTGCATACTGAGAATGGGAAGAAGGTACAAGACCCAAGTAGGAAAGATGGCATGCAAAAGGTATCTAATAATGAAAAACTAAGAGACAAGATGGGTCCCAAAGGAACCCCTTACATACTGGGCCATGGGAAAAACAGGAAAATGATGTATTTATCATGAGGGGTATAAACTTCATAAGTGCACTGAGAAAGGGGCCAACCCCTTTTGGGGAATTAGAGAACTATCCAAGTTCTGGGAGGTTCCAACAGAGACAATAGATGGGTTTTGGCAAGCCCCAGAATATTTATTTTGGATTTGTGGGGATGCGGCCTATACCAGGCTCCCAGGGGATTGGGCAGGGAGCTGCACTGTAGGGGTAATCAAGCCGGCCTTTTTCCTTCTCCCTAAGAAATCAGGAGCACACCTAGGAGTCCCAGTCTATGATGACTTAAGAAAAGAACAACAAAAGAAAAGAGATACAATTGACATGGGAGGCACACAAACCTGGAAAAGCAAGGTATGGACCCCAGAAGAAATTATCCAAACATATGGGCCAGCAACATGGGCTCA